GTTCCTCATTGCTGGTTTTTCGAGGGCCAGAAAGGGATACCTCTATATGGCAAGCCCTTTGGACCAGTTCTTCGAGCCAAGATTGCATTCTGATTGGCTAAGATCTGCAGACAATTTGGCCTATCATGAATCGTATGGACGCAGGTCGTTCTCGCGGAGCGATGGCTGGAAGTTGGCTCACTGCTTGCTTTTTCCCTTCCCCAGGTGCTGACGGAAATTCAGAACCCATGATCCTGGAACAATACGTAGTTGTGTCCAACTATGAGAAGCAAGAAATTTCTGAAATAAGTCTGAAAGCGGGAGAGTTGGTGGACGTGATAGAGAAAAATGAAAGTGGTAAGGTTTCTTTCATTTATTTATTCCTTTTATTTATTTATGAGAACATCTCTTTTAATACTTGTAAACATTTTGTTTCAATGACCCCCTCCCATCCACAAAGCTGTACATTAGCTGCATCTGGTACTGAACTTGGCTCCAGAGGTAAAACGTTTCTCAGTTAACTTGGGCTGTGAGCCAAAAATATTGCCTTGCCCTGTAAGAATGTCTCCTATTGCTTATTTATGTATAAATGAAGCTGCATCGCGTTTGTCACAAAAGGGTCAAAATTAGGATGTCTACATGAGTATCGACTGCCAGGACAAAGCATTTTCCTGTCGCAGGGTTAGAGCTATAGCACATGGGCCCATTGCAGACCTTCAGTTGTGGAGGAACTACAGGTTCTACTGTGCCAGGCCCTAATGGCACATATATTTATTCACAACAAGACAACAGCGGGCAACCCTCATCTTTTTCTACACTGATTACAATATGCAAGCTCAATATTATGTCACTTCAGTATGCAATCCATGTTGGTCCAGCTGGTAGGGCACATTTCAACTTGTAGTTCAGAAGCTTGAGGCCTGCAGGATTCCAAGCTGATTGCTGGATACTGGAGCAAAGGAAGGCCCACACTAACCAACTTTGTTGTCCCTATTTTGTAACCTGCAATAATGAAGTCTGTTTGCTGTATACTAGATAGTTATTCTTCACTGTGTTACCTTGCATTGCAAGCTCACATTGCTAGACCTGTCATTTTTGCATATTGGATGTAATTTTCATGCAGCCAGAAGGGACAACTGGTATTTGTGATACACGTAGCAGCTGCAGTTCCTACTCACTAGCCTGCTTTTTCCATTACCGATTGGGGGTAAGTGATATAAGTAACAGCCTCTCTGATTGGCTACTATTGTGTATGTCTAACCATAGTTACATAAGCGAACACAACAGCGCTTCTGGAAGTGTCTTTAGTTAATAGTATATATATGTTTACATTGAGATTGTTTATTTGTCTTTTTCAGTGTAGCATGTGTCCTGTGCCATGCACTGTACATTTTGCAGGCTGCTTTGTTAGGACATGTTGCTCAGTATCACTGTGCATGTTGCAGGCATTCGTCCAGAACTCCTGCAAATGTGGCAGTCTGTCTGGGAGATTGTTTCAGTGTTCAGTTTTTCTTTCCTGTGGTTAGGATGGAAGCAGTGGGTGGAGAGCTGAATTCAGAGTGTCAGCAAACGTTTTAGCTAGCTGGTTTAGAGGGAAAAAAAACGTTGGAAGAAAGATTTGGCAAGTTGTTCTGTACTCCAAAAGCCAGTATTAACTGAAATGCCATTGCCATTATGAAGGTCTTGGTTTGTTCCTTGCTGTCTTGTATGAAATTACAGTTTCACTTGGATTGTAAAAGTGACTTGAATATTGTATTGTATAAGCTGCATACTTGGTACAATACATCCCAGTCTTATGACACAACTTGCATAGTTCATGTCTGATGACAGTCATGCATAGCTTATTTCTTGCATGTTGAGTCTTGGGTCTTGTATTCTGATTTTAAAGAAATACGAGTTTTTGGCTATTTCAGCTGATCAACTTGTTTGCTTTTTGTTTAAACCACAGTTTAAATGATGATTGATTGTTACCATGGCCAATTTTATGCACTCTATATAATACTTTGTTGTGTAATATCAATACTGAAATGTATTGTATTCAGTTGCATGGAACTTTTATTGGAATTTACATTCTCTTTTGTTAGAAATTGTATTTTTAAGTATTTCTAGGAATTTTAAATGAACAGCAGGAGTGCCATGGCCAGCTCCTCAGTGTGAACAGCAGGGTTGGCATGGCCAGCTCTTCAGTGAGATAAAATGTGCTTTGTATAAGGAAATTTATGTGACACCTTGGCCAAGGTATTGGGTGAAGCTGACCTTAGGCACAATTACTATAGACCTTAATATGTGCCATATGTGTGATTGGACACCAATCAGCTGATTTCAGCCAAAATCATTGGTTGAAACCAGCTGCCAAACTAATGCTGTGTCCGATCACAGAGCAGGTCGGGCTGGGACGCATGTCCACCCCAATCCTGAAAGTTCATTACGTCACCTGGCCTACATGTGCTGTAGGTGGACAGCAAGTGGTAAAATGTATCTAAACCCATGAAAAAATTGGAATATATTGCAGCTTACCAGTTCATAGATATGGTGGCTGTCTAAGTTTCCATTTTCAGGCTTTTATTCAGCTTTATTTTCATCTTATGATCCTGCCAGTAACACACTTCCTGTCACAGGGTGACAACGCTCACTGGATCTATGGAGGAGCAACATTGATACCATAGGACAGGAAGTGTGTTAGAGCTACAGAACCCTTTCTTTCTCCTCATCTCCTTAGCATAGGAAGTAGGTGTTCTGTAGTCCACAGGGAGAGCTGGGAACAGTGCTAACTGATGAAGAGTGCCACTCAGGCAAAGAGCACAGAAACTATTAGCTTACAAAATGTCTGGCAGGATCGAAAGGTATATTTTGCACCTATCAAACAGATAAAACAAAATTAATTCAATGTTATATTTAATAGACCAAAGGGGAGCAAATGAGAAGTTCATTGTTAGAGTTTACATATTCCTAGGTGAAAGAAAATCAATGAAAAAGATTTGGATGGAAACATACCTATAGTTTTTGGACTTTAAGAAAAAAAGAGTTCTTTCTTTCACTATAATAAAAGTAAGCATCCTTTTTTGCATCTTTTATCAATTTGTACTTTCTCATAGGTACTCATTTTACAGATACAGAGGGTAAAATAAGTATTGAACACGTCACCATTCTTCTCAGTAAATATATTTCTAAAGGTGCTATTGATCTGATATTTTCACCACATGTCAGTAACAACCCATGGAATCCATACATACTAAGAAACCAAAATAAGTTCAGAATTTAAGTAATGTGTAATAAAATGGCATTACACAAGGAAAAAGTATTGAACACGCCAACAGAAATTTATTTAATACTTTGTACAAAATCCTTTGTTGGTAATGACAGCTTCAAGAGGCCTCCTGTACGGAGAAATGCATGCATTTCTCCGGTGTGATTTTGGCCCAATCTTCCACAGTCTTCAAATCTTGAAGGTTCCATGGGCTCTACTATAAACTCTGTTCTGTAGTTCTTTCCATAGATTTTCTGTTGGAATCAAGTTTCGCGATTTGGCTGGGTATTCTAGCAGCTTTATTTTCTTTCTTTGAAACCAGTTGAGAGTTTCCTTGGCTTCGTGTTTGGGATCATTGTCTTGCTGAAATGTCTACCCTTGTTTCAACGTCATCATCCTGATGGAAGACAGCACATGAAGTTTGCCAGTACTATATGCTGAAAAACAGCCCCACACCATGATGTTCCTACCTCCAAACTTCACTGTTGGGATGGTGTTTTTGGGGTGATGTGCAGTGCCATTTGACCTCCAAACATGATGTGCATTATGGCATCCAAAGAGTTCAATTTTGGACTCATCGGACCAGACTATATTCTCCCAGTATTTCACAGACTTGTCTAATTGTTGTGCCGCAAACTTTCAATACTTATTTATCTGCTGTATGCTGAGCTGTTGTGAGAGCAAAGGATACTGAGGTGTGCTATTGTAATTTAGTTCTAGTCCTCTGTCTGTTTTTTTTTATTGCTGCTTGGTGACCACTGTCTTTTTGTATATAGAGTGATGTGAAATCTACATTTTCGAGTTGTCACAGAACAGAAGGCAAAGGGAAATTCTCCCATTGGGAAACCTGTTACGGCTCCGTTGCTTTGGGGAGCTCTCTTGTTACTTTCTAATGTATCTCTGTGACAAAAAGTAAAGGGAATGTTTCCTGATAGGACACAGACAGAACAAGACCAGCGGCTTTAAAGTGATATTAAAGGCATATTGCCCCCTTAACAGCTATGCCTCCTGGCTCTTTAAGGGTTTTCTGATGCTGGGAGGCGGGGTTTATGATCATGTGATTGCCATGATTGGCTCTCACAGTGGTCACAGGATCAGAAAGCTCCCAAACACAAGTAGCAATCAGGAGCTTTCTGTTAGGTGCCAGTAACTGTGCTGGGAGTGCGCAAGGCGTTCGCTCTCTGCACAACTTTGTATACATTTTGGTACATGCAGCCTCTGGGCATTACGGCCCACTCGCTGAGAGGGCGCATATATACGTCAAGGAGTTTAACCACTTGCCTACAGGGCACTTATACCCCCTTCCTGCCAGGCCAATTGCCAGCTTTCAGAGCTGTTGCACTTTGAATGACAATTGTGCGGTCATGCAACACTGTACCCATATGAAATTTTTGTCATTTTTTTGTGACAGAGCTTTATTTTGGTGGTATTTAATCACCTCCTGGGTTTTTTATTTTTTCTTAAACAAACCAAAAACCTCTAAAAATTTTGAAAAAAAAAAGTTTTTTCTTAGTTTTTGTTATAAAATTTTGTAAATAGGTGATTTTTCTCCTTCACTGATGTGCGCTAATGGGGCTGCAGTGATGGCCACTGATAGGCTGCACTGATGGACACTGATAGGTGACACTGATGGGCACTGATGAGGAGGCACTGGTAGGTGGCACTGATGGGCATTGACAGGCATCACTGATGGGCACTGAAAGGGAGCACTCATATAAGGCACTGATAGGCGGCACTGACTGGCACTGTTAGGTGGCACTGACTGGCACTGTTAGGCAGCACTGATACACACTGATAGGCGGCACTGACTGGCACTGATAGGAGGCACTGACTGGCACCGATAGGTGGCACTGATGGGTGACACTGAAAGGCAGCTCAGATGGGCACTGATATCAGGCATTGATGTGGCACTGAAATGTGGCACTGATGTGGCATGGATGAGCACTGTGAGCTGGCACTGATGTACACTGACAGGTGGCACTGCTGGGGCTACACAGATCATCAGGGCACACTGATCATCAGTGCTCTGATGATCTGTGTACATGTCCCCTCCGAGGAATGCCGATTACCGACTCTACTCTCCTCGCGAGCTGTCAGCGTGACAGCTCGTGGGGAGAGAAATGCTGATAACCAGCATTTCCCTGTTTACATGTGATCAGCTGTGATTGGACACAACTGATCACATGACCAAGCCGACATCTTTGGCTCTATCCGTGGATCGGTGATCCGCTGTGTCCGAGGGACACAGCGCACCGCCTATTGCCGCGCTCCGGGAGCCGCTCATGCGCGGTTAGAATGGGAGGACGTCATATGACTTCCTCCCAGAACGAGAGAACCACCTTGCGTCCGTCATATTACTATATGGCGGGCGGGAGGAGGTTAAAAAAATATATATACTTTTGTGCTCTGTGCAGTGGTTTTGCACAGAGCAGCCCCTATTATCCTCTTCTCGGGTCCCCTCCCAGTGCTACTGGACCCTCCCTCCCTGTAGAGTGCCCCAGAGCAAGCCACTTGCTATGTGGGCACCCGAGCAGGCTCGCTCCTGAGCCGCTGTTGTGCGTGTCCATTCACACACAGAGAACAGCTTGGCCCCACCCTCTCCTCATTGGCTCACTGGCTGTGATTGACAGTAGCAGGAGCCAATGGCTCCCACCACTATCTCAGCCAATGAGGAGGGAGAGACCCAAAGAGCCGCTGGGAGGGAGAGACCCAGAAGAGCCGCTGTCAAGATGGGGCCCAAATAAGTATTAGGACAGGCTGGGAGAGCTGCTGCACATAGGTTTTTGTTTTTTTTTTACCTTCATGCATAGAATGCATGAAGGCAGAAAACCTTGAGACTTTACAACCACTTTAAAGCAGAGTTCCACTCAAAAGTGGAAGCTCCGCTTATTTGCCTCCTCCCCCCCTCCACTACCATATTTGGCACCCTTTGGGGGGGAGCGAGTACCTGGTTTTGAGAGGTACCCGCTCCAACTTCCGGCTCTGCTCACCACAGCGAAGTGAGCCAGAAGTTGACTAAGTTGAGCAGGGGAAGGTTGCTGCGTAAGTGCAACCACAGGGGCTTGAGTATAAATGCATTGATTAGTTGTATGGTTTAGCAGGCCCTCCACAGTGAACATTAGCTAGAGTCTGAAAAGTAAACCAACAAGACAATTACTTCTATATATGGTATGTTAGTAGAAGTATAGAATTGGTTAGTCTAAACAAGAGTAGCCAACAAATTGTATTTTTTCTCTGCTAATTGTCTAGTTAATCCAGAAATGGCTTAATTCTGTCTATTTTTTTTTTTTCATGCTGCAAAGTTTTTCCAGATTTATAGTGTGAGATTTCTTTGTTGAGAGGGCCCATTCTTATGTTTATGCCGTACATCTAGTCACAGGGTTATTGACTCTGCAGCAGTCACCAGATTTTAAAGACTGTGACGTTGAAAATTCCAGATGGCAAACTGTCTTTATTTGTAGATTGAGTAACTTTAGCCTTTGGGTAAAACTTTGGTTACCTCCACAGCATCAGCGTGAAATATAGTAGTTCACCTGGTGGACATGCATCTCCTGTTGCCAATTGTGAAATCGATGGAGGGAAAGAGATTGTCTGATGAACCTCACAGAGCCTGACTGGCACAATAACAGTTATTGACAATTCCCCATCTTTGTGAATGTAAAAATAACACAGAAATCTTTATTTTAAAATAGATGAGTTATAAAGATATGACCTTAGGACATTATTCCCTCTAGTCCTAGACAGTTAAACTCTATGATTTTCAAGATGCCAAAACACTAAAATAATCATAGCTACATTCATGTGTATTGTGTTTGTATACATTGAGAAAAAAAAAAAACAAACACTTGAAGTGGAGTAAAAAACGAAACATCTTTTTCCTAAAATTCTTTTAGTTTCTCATAAAGGATGTACAGTGCCTTGAAAAAGTATTCATACCCCTTGAAAATTTCCACATTTTGTCATGTTACGTCCAAAAACGTAAATTTATTTTATTAGGATTTTATCTGATAGACCAACACAAAGTGGCACACAATTGTTAAGTGGAAGGAAAATGATAAATGGTTTTCAAAATTTTTTACAAATACATATCTGAAAAGTATGGCATGTGTTTGTATTCAGCCCCCCTGAGCCAATACTTTGTAGAACCACCTTTCGCTGCATTTACAGCTGCAAGTCTTTTTTGGAATGTCTCTACCAGCTTTGCACATCTAGAGAGTGAAATGTTTGCCCATTCTTCTTTGAAAAATAGCTCAAGCTCTGTCATATTGGATGGAGAGCGTCTGAACAGCAATTTTCAAGTCTTGCCACAGATTCTCAATTGGATTTAGGTCTGGACTTTGACTGGGCCATTCTAACACATGAATATGCTTTGATCTTAACCATTCCATTGTAGCTCTGGCTGTATGTTTAGGGTCATTGTCCTGCTGGAAGGTGAACCTCCGCCCCAATCTCAAGTCTTTTGCAGACTCTAACAGGTTTTCTTCTAAGATTGGCCTGTATTTGGCTCTATCCATCTTCCCACCAACTCTGACCAGCTTCCCTGTCGCTGCTGAAGAAAATAATGCCCACAACACAATGCTGCCACCACCATGTTTCACAGTGATGTGCAGTGTTAGTTTTCAGCCACACATAGCATTTTGCTTTTAGCCCAAAAAGTTCAGTTTTGGTCTCATCTGACCAGAGCACCTTCTTCCACATGTTTGCGGAGTCCACCACATGGCTTCTCGCAAACTGTAAATGGGACTTATGGCTTTCTTTAAACAATGGCTTTCTTCTTGCCACTCTTCCATAAAGGCCAGATTTGTGGCAGGCACGACTAATAGTTGTCCTGTGGAGAGATTCTCCCACCTGAGCTGTTGATCTCTGCAGCTCCTCCAGAGTTACCATGGGCCTCTTGGCTGTTTCTCTGATTAATGCTCTCCTTTCCTGGCCTGTCAGTTTAGGTGGACAGCCATGTCTTGGTAGGTTTGCAGTTGTGCCATACTCTTTCCATTTTCAGATGATGGATTGAACAGTGCTCCGTGAGATGTTCAAAGCTTGGGTTATTTTTTTATAACTTAACCCTGACCTGCCTGGTGTGTTCCTTGTCCTCCAAGATGCTGTTTGTTCACTAATGTTCTCTAACAAACCTATGAGGGCTTCACAGATCAGCTGTATTTATGTTGAGATTAAATTACACACAGGTGGACTCTATTTACTAATTAGGTGACTTTTGAAGGCAATTAGTTCCACTAAATTTTAGTTAGGGGTATCAGAGTAAAGGGAGCTGAATACAAATGCATGCCACACTCAGATATTTACTTGTAAAAGTTTTGAAAAACATTTATCATTTTCCTTCCACTTCATAATTATGTGCCACTTTCTGTTGGTCTATCTCATAAAGTCCCAATAAAATACATTTAGGTTTTTGGTTGACAAAATGTGGAAAATTTCAAGGGGTATGAATACTTTTACAAGGCACTGTATAATGCTTATGAAAAGGAACTGCCATGTTTGATTTGTTTGCATTCCCTTGCTGAGAAGGGTTCATTGCACTGTAATACATCTCTTGCTTTTCAGCCTAAAAACACAGAAATTACTTATAACATTAGTTTATATCCCTAAAATGATATTAAACCCTGTTGTAAGCATTTTCAGCTGATTTAATCCTTATGTAGCTTCTTTATCCTTTAATTCAGTTTATGCTGTGCTATGGCTGCTACTCTGTTTACCTGTTTCATAGTGACTTCTTTCTCTGGCAGAGTCCTATGAAGCAACCCTTACATGCAGGGAATAGAGTTGTGTCTCTCTCTATGCTGTGTGCAGCAATAGAAGCACACAGCCATGTAGCCTAGAAGCCTCCCTCCCTCTCTTCCTCACACACCCCCTTCTTCAGGCTCCCATGCTGACTTCAGACTGCACTGTTAACTCTTTCCTGTTAAGACGAGAAATTCAGGAAAGCAGCACTGAAGGAGCATGAGCCAACAGTATTTGAAGCTCTAAACTGCAAATGTTTGGGTAAGAATGTTAACACATAGTTTACTGGAGAATGTTTAGTTTGCTGTGTTCAAAGTGTTAAGTTAAAAAGGGTTTAGCTACACACACAGCTTTCTGCTTGAATCCTAATGATGTCTTTTTTTGGTGATGTAGACTTTTAGTTGTTTTGTCTGGTCTAGTATACAAGTTACATGTGGTTGGGCAGGTAATTTGTTGTTTTCTCCGAGACTCAAAAGAAAAAAAAAAAAAAGCTTGTTGTCTTAGTACAGTCTAAAAATGTCTGCATGCCAGCATTTTGCAATAATCATGTGTTTTATTACATACTTTCTGCTTAACCCAAACAGGAGGGCATAAGGCATAAATTAAGAGCATGTCTTTTTTTTGTTATGTTTCTCGGTAGAGAACATGTTGATTACCTTGAATGTTTATAATTGTAGACATTGAGGAGGATTTACTAAAGCTGCTTCACTCAGAATCTGGTGTAACTGTGCATGGTAGCCAATCAGCTTCTAACCTCAGCTTGCGCAATGAAGCTTTAGCAATAAAACCTTGAAGCTGATTGGTTTCCGAGCAGAAGTACACAAGATTCTGAGTGAACCAGCTTTAGTAAATAAACCCCATTGAGTCCCATCCATCTCTTTTGAAGAGTTATCATAAGCTACAGCAGCTGCTCAGCTCATTAGCAGGTTCTGTCAGCCTGGCTCTGGGGAGCTTGAATTGTCCCGCCAGGTTCAGAAAGACACACATAACAGTTTGCCATGTATTACACTTATGTCATGAATAGGTTTCAGTGGCTAAACTGACCCTGTGCATATTGTCTGCCAAAAGGTAGAAAGTGAAATGTTATATTAAATTTTATTACATTAAGAGAGAAGTGGGGGTTTCTTTTTTTTTCCCCACTTATACTTACCTAGGTGGGTGCAGCATCGGTCCTCCGCCGGCTCTAAGTGTGAGAAATCAGCGATCACATGACTGCTGATCGCAGAGTTCTCACAGCCACTGAGTAGAGAGCAGTGACTGTCAGTCAGTCTCAGCAGGCCAATGCCATCTTCATCTGCTTGTGTTTTGCTAATCACCAGTTTTCTCCTAACACCCACTTCTTTTATGTTTCTTTTACACTGGAAAGTTGGCCCAGGCTGGCAACACTTTACG